TTTTCTTGTCGTTTTTTTCGTTTGTGTGGTGGTGGTGTGGGAAGTGTGAGTGGGGTGGGAGGGGTTTATATGGTGCTTGAGGGCTCACCAACTACTTACTGTAGTCGTTTGTGGGGGCACACGTTGATCAAATCATTGTGGTTGGGCGTGGGGCCCAGTGACGAAGGTAAAATACACGTACCTTTTTTTTTTGGGTACAAAAATACACGTACCTTTAAACCTTTGTGATTGCTTGGTATGAAGGGTTGTTTATTTATTTATTTATGTAATAGTTTTTTTTTCTTTTTCTTTTTTTTTCTTTTTTTTTTTGTGCGTGTATTTGTTTGACGTCTGAAGTAAAAACACGTACCTTTATTTATTTTTCTTTCTGTGCATGGGATAGCGAGTAGCAAGTTCTGTAACGAGATTGTAACATTTTTATTAATTAATAATATTTTATGATTTTATGCATTGATTTTTAATGTTATGTAAAATTTATGTATAGTGCTTTGTAATTTGGAGTAATTCATGTTAGATTTTATTCTTATCCACTTCTCTTAATTTTGGGATAATTTAGATTATAAACACGCTGTAAAACATATTAATTTTTTAGTTGTCGTAGAAATTTAATATATAATGTATTATATTGATCATCATTTGATATTTTGTATTTGAAATTGTTATTAAATACATAAAGTTAATAATTGAAAATTAATAATTCATCTATCAAGCATGTTTAACTTTGAATTGGAAGAGTAGTTGAAAAAATAGTTTAGTATAGAATTAACTGAGTCTCAGGGCGTGTTTGGATACAAATATATCCACTAAAAATGAGTTTTTTTATAAACTAGAGTTAATTTTGAAAAAATTGGTGTGATTAGTTGGTAGTAAGATTTTGAGTTTATATTAAAATAATATTTAAAATAAAATAATTAAAATTAAGTTTATTATAAAATAAGAGAAAGATGATGTTAAAATGACGTTTAGTTAAAATTATGTATGTGAGTAAATAGTGAAATAAAATTGATGTTACATTTAAAAATAATTAATTGATATTATTTAATTATATTGATGATATTGTAGATAGTGAAACTGAGTTAAAATTGAGTTAGATTTTGAGTTTGAAAAAATTTATGCACAAACATCCCCACTAAAAATGACATGACTGAATGTATACTATCTTTTAGTGCTAATGAAGGTGTGTTGGTTTACTAATATATGAGGCTTTTTTTTGTTTTTTGTTTTTTTTTTACGAGAGTTAATTTAAAAAAAATAATATGGTTAGTTATTAGTGAGATTTTAAATTTGTGTTAAAATAATTTCTAAAATAAAGAGTTTAAGATTGATTTTATGTAAAAGTAGTAAATAAGGATTGTAAGTGACAAATATTAAAAATTATGTGAGTGAATGATCAATAACAAATTAAAGTTAACATGATGTGTAAAGATGAATGATCGGTATTATGTGAATTATATTGATAATATTGAAAATAATGATTAGAGTTAAAATTGAGTTGTATTTTGAGTACAAGTTGAATATTAGTATGAATAATTTGTAAAGAAACACATTTTGAGTTATTTGTGTACAATATGTAAAGATGCGTGGTTGCTTTTAGTAACTACTATATGTGTAGTGTAAAATGTGAGAAATTGTTTAATTTTTCCTTAGTCGTGTGCTATCATACCAGTTTGTATAAATTAAATCCATGTAATTAAATATTAATATTTTTTTTTTTTATCAAATTCAATGTTTAGTAGTACATTAAATATTTATATATTGTGAAATCATAGTTTACTCATCCATGGTGAGTGGTGACCCATTCTCATTAGGAAATCCAAAAACTTAAGAAAATGTTTTCAAATAAGAAATGATTAATTAAAAATCATAAGTAAAGTAAAACTCTTGAGGGAGAGCTTTGCCACTCTTGTGGTCCTACCCGGCTCGATTCCGGATTAGTCGGTTTCCCTGTGGATCCGGAAACCGGAAGGTCCCTGTACCAAAAAAAAAAAAAAAATCATAAGTAAAGTAGACTCTAATTTTTGCCTAATTTCTTCTAGAGCCCCACCTACTTTCACGACATTTTTTCACCAGTTTTAATTAGTAAAATTCATTGAATAAACTTTTGAATAATAAACTTGAAGTCGCAATTGGTGGATGGGTTGTGAACCAAATTATCTATTTTTCACCAGTTAGGGTTGGCATGTAAGTGAACTAATATATTAATCGGACAACCCGTTTATATCAATATAAATCAAATTTCAATACATATATTTATTTCTTCATATAGAAAAAACAACAATTTTACGTATTTTTGTTCACCATGTATATAATACATGTTGTCATATAATGTCATTATTATTATTTATATAAATTATAAAAGTATTATTCTTTTTTATGTAACAATTGTTATTTAATGCATGTTAATAATATTTATTAATTTAAATATTTTAATTGAACAATTGCCAATAAATAAATCATTTGTATAATCATGAAGTTTTTCTAGTTTTCATCTTAAGATTTCATAGTTTATTTATGATACTATGCAATGGCCGAACTAAAATTTATTATAATTTCATTATGGTAAGAAATTAAAAACACATGATAAAAAAAAAAAAAAACATTTCTTAGATTTGTGATATTTAATATATTAACTAATTATAATTTGACTAATTACTAAATATATCGATTTACATAAGTTTATGTGACACATTTGAACTCAACTGAAATATTACATTATAGCACACAAACATTTTTAATTATTATACAATTAACATGCGATTTAAAGATATTTACCAATAAATAAATAAATAATAAACTGTTTGACCAAAAAATCTAATTTTAAAAAAATATATATACATATATATATATTTTTAATCAATAATTACATCTCTTAGTTTTGAGAAGTTCAACAATCGTGTTGGCTCAAATTTTTACCAGCATTTTTCATTAGTTTGAAAATAATTTTCCAAAATTTAAATTAAGTAGGCAAAGAAAAAGTGGGAAAATATACTATTAGTAAATCATCTTTATATATAGTTAATTTTTAAATCTAACCGTACGTTCAATGAATTGGTCAAACTGTTAATTCAACAGTACGTGGTTGAATTGGCCAAAGTTGTTTCTAATTAAATAATATTTTTAAATATATATAGGACAACCTAACCAATAAATTTTACATACATCATTAACTGAATATTTGGATAATTTAAAATATTAAATACCGAAAATAGTTAATATGACAATTTAGCATACACGTTATAATTGAATTTATATTCTTATTTGTTTAAAAAATATTTTTAAATATTTGAAAACTAATTTCCCGAACAACCCGACTCCAATACACGATATTTGTCTCCAACACAACTTAAGTATTAGAAATTATTTACCACAACCTTTGTATACACAACTCAACTTATCGAATTTATCCTCAATTCAACCCAAATCCCAAATTAAAATAAACTTTTCTTATTTATTAAATATTATTTACAATTGACTTTTTTTTAGTTGTGACAAACTAATTAAAAAAATTGTATAAATAAAGTAGTTATGATTTTAAAAATAATATTTTAGCATACATTGAGGAAAGAGTTAAAAGAGAAAAATTACAATTAATAATGTAGTATTGGGGAAAGAGTGAAAAGAGAAAAACTGTAAATGTGTTCCAAAATTTGTCAAATGTGTTTTTTATTTATAGAAAATGTAAAAATAAGGATTTTTGAATTCGTTTTAATATGAAATATCATCAATTATTATCCTTTAAATTTATTTTTTGTTATGTAATCTAAATAATACAATCACCAAATAGGAATGAGACAAGTTGTGTCACCAATATACCAAGCCTTAGTTCTAGCGAACAGTGCATGTCATTGATCAGTTTCCAATACGACCTACTCGTTCGATTGGGACCGCTCGGTTCTAGGCGGTCTTTCAACCTGATTTTTCAGTTTTTTCAGCTGTTAGCTGCTTGTATTCAACCGTTGACTGTCTGTATTCAGCTTGTGCTGTACTTTTGCACTTTTGTACGCATTTATATACTATCTCTATCTTTTCAAAAAAAAAAAAAATGCTCTTTACACATTTTTTTTCTTCTAAAAAACGACAAATACTAAAATATAACCTTAAATAAGGTACAATCGGTAACAAATTGGATAAAAAGGATATTTCTAACATTACATTTTTCTTCTTATTCTTCTTCTTCTTTTTTTTTTCTTTTTTTTTTCAAACATTGCCCACCGGAATTTTTATATATGTTATTTATCAACGTGAAATTCATTTTGCTATTAAAGGAAAATATAATTATACATGACTTTCCAGTTTCCACCACATTCTTTTTGTAACAACCTTTTTGAAAATTTAACTAGCTAGTAACTACATTACAGTTTTTTCATTTTTTTTTTTTCATTTTTTTTAATAAAACAACATATGAGGGTCTGTTTTTGCCCACCGGAATTTTATCCTGTTGATGTTATACATCAACGTGAAAGTTCATTTTGCTATTAAAGAAAAGGTATAATTACACACTCTCCAGCACGTCCTTTCTGTAAATTGCATTACTAAGGAACGATTTTTTTTTTTGTAGTCAACCATGATATCCGGAGCTATGGTTCGACTAATCCGTTGGTCGACCAGAGTCGCGCACCTGACAATGATGGGTGAGTCTTCCAACAAGAGTTTTCTACATACACAAGGACTCAAACCCAAAACATTGCCTAAGCGGCATCAAACTGCTTACCACTTGATGAGTTGGTTAAGCAAACGAATTATTTGACATAACGTTGCATGCATTTACAAAAATAAATAAGAAATCGCAATATAAGATTCATTTCCTTCTCAATAGATCGTGCACTAATAATAATAATAATAATAAAAATAATAATAATAATAAAATATCATTCGCGAAATGAAGGACCACGGCGTTGAAAATGATTTAGTGAATTAGAAAAAGATGCAGCAGTCTAT